TAAACTCACTTTGTACGACGCGATTGCATCGAAAACGAGATTCTCCTTTTCGCCTCACGGCCATTTGTATCACGACCAGGTAATTTAACAAAAAGTTGCTTGCGATATTTCGTTATTACATTTAAGCTCTTCCAACGACGAGAGACTGAATCTCTGAGAAGTTTCAATGGAGCACCCTATACATGAGAGTTTTTTTTCGTCGAAGTCTCGGTCCACGTTCAGTTCTTCGTTTCAAGCGTTATCTCAAAGTACATATAACACATATAAATCCATTCGCCATAACTTCTTTGATATTCTCGGAAGACGGCCGTCGTCGTCGTTCAATAATCCTTATTTCTATCGGGGAAAAAGTTTCCGCAAGGAAGCTGGTAAGTATTGCGCGTGTTCTTCCTTCCTCACAAATTACAAATTAAATTACAGCACTTTCGTAGGAAGCGCAAACTTCCCTAAAACTCATGGCTGCGAATCACTTACAGTAATCTGTGTCTTACTTGCACGATCGCTTCGTTGATGAAAAAAAAAAAAATCCTCTCGGCATAGTTCGCGCGACGCTTTTCCTTCCCACGAGCATTCATTTTACTTTTCTTCTTCTTAAACATTCTATATTTACGCATAGCTTCCGTTGCAAAAACTGCATCGTAACTACTGCTTTCGAAAGTCATTTATAAGCATCGCGATATCCGCCCACCCACTCGTCGCACCGATCGTTACATCCACCAATCATCGATCGCTCGATGTGTTTCGCGAGACCTTATTTCATACGTGAAAATATAGGACGGGCAGAGAGATCCGGCAGGATAACCACCGCCTCCGGTATGTTGGCTCGCATGATTGATGAAATTTGTGTAGGAGCAACAGGGCATACTTGCCGTACCCTCCGGTAACGGAACGCTCTTGATTGATAGAGGGTGTTCGAATTTGAAATTCCGCCCTACAGAAAGTTGACCGCCCACACTCTTCCTCTCTCTCTCTCTCTCTCTCTCTCTCTCTCTTCCTCTCTCGCTTTCTCTCTCCTTTTTCTCTATCTCTCTTTCTCTTCTGCGTCTGATGTTTTTTTTCTGCGTGGCACGCGAACGTATATACTAGACACGCACACGTTTACATTGAGCAACTTTTGCGTTTCCGCATCCCATGACATGACTGGTGGGAGGTTCCTTCCGGCATGGTAGACGGCCAAAGGACACTCGTCTCATTCGTCTATCGTTCATTCAGGCTAAACGGCCGCTCCAGTCCGTATACAAGCTCCTCACTTTCCCCGTATCCTCGTTGACTTAGTTATTTACAAGTCAAATACGGTCGATCGATATACTAGGATCGAGGGAGCAGAATCGCCGGCCGTCGTGAAGCCGCATCGGGCGCAGTGAGACAGAACAGCAAGACGGATGTATGAATCGAAGCTCAATGCATGCGCGATGTCATCACGAATATCATCTTTTAGCGTTTCTCTTGTCGTTTTGTTCGTGTAATATTAACTCTCTGCGCGTACATACCTTTCCTCTGGAATATATTTCATGAAAGAGAAAAAACGCTCTTCGTGTCCCTCACATAAGCCGTACACATGCCGAGCAGCATGGTTCAAAGAGCATTGTTTCAGCTTCAGATTTAAAGCCACGTGGGCAAAGAGAAGGCTGAAAAGTGGCGGTTTTAGAGAACAATACTCTTAGTACGTATGTATTTTGACCGCGTGGCAAGACCAATCGAGTTCGAAAGAACTTCTCTGTCGCGGTCAAAACAATAAAATCTCGAGGCTATAGGAAAGTGTAGCAACCGCAGGCGTCCTTGCGGACGAAGACTTCAAAAAGTTTCGACGTCGCGCGGAGCATGTGTGCGTGAAAAGTTGGCTGAAATCTGCTATGGCGCGCACGGTTCCCACTGGAATGGTTTTCCCGATGGAATCCGGCTGCGATCTTTGGCGAATTTCTCTTTGTTTTCCCACGACGTTAATCCACAGTGACGCATAGTTTACTTTTGTACGCTTCAAAAAATACAAGTTACGCGATTTCAATTATTATACACATTGTGATTCGCTGACGATCTTCGCCGGTTCTCTAATATTGAATCATGTTTAATTTTTAATCATTTCAGTCCTTCGCGAATGTTTCAATTTCGCTCGACTGCATATATATCGCTTTCTTCAAAAGTGACACAACTAAACAAATTGACTTTTTCAGAATAAGAGATAAAACTATTTTTTTACTTGACAAATAATTGATTTAAATTAACTAATATTAGCAAAAATAGTACATCAGGCCAGTTTGAACTTCAGAGCCAAAACGCAAAGCGTATTGACGTAAAAAAATTCAATGTAAGATTTCAGACTTATAAAGTATTAATAAGCGTCGCTCAAATGTATCTCTGAAATCTTACCCATAGTTTTTTGCATCGATGATTTTGCGTTTGCTCCAGAGCTTAAATTGGATAGGCATGGACTACATAATTTTTAATATGATGAAATGTCATTTTCGTTTCATCCTTTAAGAAATCACTTATGTCATGTTTTAAGTTTTAAGTAGCAAGTTTGATATCCTACAAATCCTGAATAATTTTTCAAGAGCGACATAACTTGAAATATTACCAACAGAATTTATTTATATTTATCTTAATCGATTAAAATAACTAGATTTAAAATAAAATTTCTTCTTTAAACTTTGGTCACAAAATTCTTAACTCTAAATGTTTTCTGTAGATTTCTCCTTTTTTTATTTACAAAAAACGATACAACTCAAAGTGTGTCACTCTTAGAAAATATTACAATCTCTTTGAAAATCTTAAGAAGTACATTATTTGGCGGATTGCAAAGTTAATTCAGTTTTGATGATTAATAGAGTGATCATTATCTAATTTTTTATAATAACTTGAAAATAACATTGTATGAGTTGTGTCATTTTTGAAATAAAGAAACGATATTCTTAATATAATCAATTGTCATTTTTATCATTTTTATAAAGTTAGATTATTAATTAAGTTTAGTTATAAAATACTTTCGTGAAATTTAATTATTTTTTAAATTATTTTTTATTGGATAATATTTACTTAACTCATTCATGATTCTCTGAAATGATGATTTTGTTGAAGTATCTAAAAAATCAGCTAAACATAATTTTATTGGACTTTCAAAATAATTATGTAGGACGCTCAAGCATGATTGCAGGAAATTTTTTGCAGCATGGCTCATCATACGTTTTCTGCATAATTATTTTAATGATTCAAATTTATTTTGTAAATCTGTATTTATTTAAATTTTTAGATACTTTAACAAAATTGTTCTTTCCATACAATAACTTAAAAAGTCTCATTTTTTATGCTACTTTTGAAGTAAGAGAAATATAAAAGATATATAAAAAAAAGTTTGAAGTCTGCATAAAATTTATCATGAAATGAAATTTGAGGAACGAGATATATAAAATAATTTGATAAATACACAAAACTAAAATCGTGTTCTAATAAATTAATAAATCATTTCGAGATATACAGAAAAATTTTTTCATCGAGATGTTGTAGCTTAAATTCTTATCGAATTTCAACCGATAGAGAGATTCGGAATTGTATTTGTCGCGGAAAAACTAATATAATGCACAATCTCGAACTCCACGGCGATAATAACAGGGGTGAAGCTTGTTTTAGTTGTCGTGCTGTATTAATTTAACTTCGGCGACGCGTCGACACGACACGATACGACGCTGGCGTCGCAGAATGCGATGCTGTAATGGTATTAAGCTAAATTGCCAACAGTCCTCAGCAGGGTATTCCGTCCTGCTTTGAGATTAGTGGCGTTGACTAACAAAAATAAAGAAAAGACAGGCTCGTGGGAATGTAAGGGGGAGGAAAACAGAATGGCCGAGGAAACACGAAGAAAATCCCGAAGGTCTCCGATGGCACCAAACTGCCTTAGACTTGTTTGATAACATGGAAAGTCGAGTTTAGTCTCGTTGTGTGAGTCATGAAATAATTTTACTCTGTTCAAATGACACATACTGTTGTAAGAAATAGCGGTAAATATATAAGATTGTCAATATATGCAGTGATTCTTATTTCAAATCTCTTATAGCTTTTTTCACTGGCAGAACTGGTGCGCATTCAGTGCACATTAAAGCTAACTTAATCTGAATGTCAGAGTGAAATATCTCAATTAATATAATCCAATGTTAAAATACCCAATGTATATTTTATCAAATATCACAATAAAATGTGTTTGAGGATTTAATTTGTTTCTATATTTTTATTAAACATACATCTTTATATCGATTTGTGTACAACGGCTTTAAAATGCACTGAGTGCGCACCAGCTCGACCAGTGAAAAACACTATTAGAATATTTTTAGATTATTCGAAATTTTCGAGTAATTCAAATCATAGCAATTCAAATTCAAATCGAATCAAATTTTACCTGAATCGATTCGATTCATACATCGAATAGTTCGCACAGTTATAACAGAAGATTAAATAGAGTAATGCTAAAGTGGAAAAAACGATAAACAAGTATATTTTATATACTATGTATATATTTTATATACATATAATTACATGACGACATTTATTATTATAAAATCGTATATCGCATAATTTGTTCAGTGACAATCATGCACAATTATCTTAATGTACATTAACTAAAAGTGTCAAATAGCGTATGGGATATTTGTATGACATATAAATTATTCAAAATTATTAAGCGCTGCGTATTATTTAGTAATAATTAATTCCGGCCGCGTATACGTAATATGATTAGTCGATCGTATAATTAAACAATGATCCACATCCGCGTTCAACTATCAATAATGATGAATGTAGGTAAAACGCGTAGCTAGTTGCCCGCGTTGGTAAATATTAAACGGTAACTGGAATACATTAGTTACATGTTGCATATTTCTCTCCGACAGAATATCCCAAAAGACGAAACTCCGCTTTCACATGCATGCAACTACGCTCGGCTAAGTAAGTTCTGCGGTCACAGTACCACAGTCACGTTCTAACATCATCGCGCACGTTTCTGCTGTTAACAGGATTTCTCGAGATGATACCGAGAACGGCGAGCCGGTGGCTGCTTTGTGTGGCGCTTACGGTCGCCCTGTGTCAAGGCCAGGAGGACTGGATGCAGTGCTCGTCGACATGCAAGTGCAAATGGGTGTCCGGTAAGAAGACCGCCGAGTGCATTAAGCAGAACCTCACGCAGGTGCCAGGAGATCTTTCGCCCGAGATCCAGAGTCTCGATTTGACCGGCAATCGCATAACTCACCTCATACGCGATGCATTCAGCCGCGTCAATCTGGTTAATCTGCATAAGCTGTCGTTGCGCGATTGCGGCATCGAGGCGATTAACAGGGACGCTTTCAGCGACTTGAAGATCATCATCGAGATCGATCTGTCGGGCAATAATATCCGCAATCTGCATCCAAGTGTCTTTTACGAAACCCAAAAGTTACGAGTGCTGCTACTCGATCAGAACAAATTGAGAATGCTGGATAACGGTTTGTTCTTCAATCTCACTTTCCTGCAGAAAGTCACGTTGTCAGACAATAGATTAGAGCGCATCGAGGAGCAGGCGTTTCGTAATTTGCCAAATTTGCATTCCCTCGCGTTGGATGGGAATAATTTCAGTACCCTGCAATTGCAAAGCTTCGAGAGTCTGCCCAAGCTCGGCAGTCTCGAGCTCCAGAATAATCCATGGAACTGCAACTGCCACCTCAAAAAGTTCCGCGATTGGGCGATCCAGCGCAAGTTGTACACACAGCCAACCACTTGCCAGCAACCGCCCCACATGATCGGCAAGATGTGGGACGAAGTTAGTAGTGACGATTTCGCGTGCAGACCGAAAATCACCAACATCGAGCCGTCGAACAAAATCGAAACAGTCAAAGGAGATGTAACAATATCGTGCAGGGCAACGGGAATTCCACATCCTGAGGTAAATGCATATTCAGGCACACTCGATATAAATCTCTAAATATCTTATAAGTTAAAGTCAAATAAGTTTCTGATCTAAATAAAGCTTATAGTGAAAAGAAATGCGATTTAATATTAATCTTGCCATTTTATTAGAGAATTTTTGTATTCAGTACACATTAAAATTTCTTTAGTAATGCACTTTTTTCTACTACCGCACTATAAAACCTCACATTACATCTATTTCAGTTATCATGGACGTATCGTAATCGCCTTATAACCAATAGCACTAAACACGCAAACGATAAAAATTACATATTGTTGGCGAATCATGATTGGTTAAATCTCACTATCATCGATGCGCTGCCTGCCGACAAAGGTGACTACGTTTGCCACGCGAAGAGTCCGGGCGGCGAAGCGGAGAAAAACGTGACTTTATCCATAATAGGCGATGCTCTAGGCGGCAGAGAGAACTTCATCAGCCTGCCTCTCGCTATCGGATTAGGTGTCACCGCATTGTGTCTGCTGATCGTTACAGTAGTGCTCTGCGTGTGCTACTGTCGTCGTCGCCACACCAGGCATGACGAGAAAGGCCTCGAAGCGGCGTCCCTGGAGCACCATGGTCTCGGTGAACAGGAGAAATCCCTGATTACGACCATTAACCCGGTCGTGAAGCCCCCGAGGCGCTACGAGGCACCGTCGGTGACATCGCATAGTACGGAGATGACGGAGTTGAACCGCACGTTGCTCGACAACGACTCGGTTTTCGGTCAGTACACAGCCTATATTACTAAACAGTGCGCGGCTAGGTGCTAGCGAGAAACTATTTTGCATTAATTTCGACAAGCGATTTACCTCGAAACCGCGCATTCGCGGACATTAATTTAAGGTCGACAGAATTCATCGAATATGATCCGATATGATTCTTAACAAGTCGCGAAACATCGGTCATTTCGTTTGAGTAGTATTCTTCTTCCAAGCAAAAATGGAAATGACCTCTATATGTCGCTTATATAATGTACAAACAGCGTGTATGCATGTGTGTGCGTGTAATCGTAAATCGATTCGTTTCCGTGCCGAGCGCGGACTATCATGCGAGAATTGTTCGACCAGGTGCCATCGATCTTAAGGTAAGGAGAGTCCGCCAAGTGGCAGTTAGGAGACTAATGAAGATCCGTTAGGGACGCTTATAATACATCAGGCACCCCTTAATATAACATTTGCGCTGCGATAGCGCGAACACATTCGTCATCCGTATTCGATCATTGATATATCATCCTTTTAGAAATAATATTTTCTGTAGATCAGAACAAAGAGCAGATTTTAATTTTTAGTTTCCAACGCGAAAATGTTGATTACGACTTGCATAATAAATTGCTGTAACATATAATTATACAAGTAATGACGACAATAAGGTACGCCAAGCAACATGTTGCGTGTGTAGACTTGCGTGTTATTATTTAATGAAATATTTTTCGACGAAAATACGCAGGAACTTGTATATGTGATAATACACAATCAAATTTCTATGAATCCGGAATATTGTAGAAAAAATATCAATATATGATTTTAAAGTGATTCGAATCTTGTATAATAGTAAAATTCAGTCAATTTTACGAATTTTAAGGGAAACTTCAAAGCAACACTATGTAGCACCAGCGTTCGCTTGACCGACAACGCTCAAGAAAATGCGGTTACATTTCCCAGTTCAATTGATAAAGCGCTCTTCCGACTGCGATCATATCGCGACCAATCCGATTAAAAGCAATCGTTTACGCTCGTTGAAGATAATATCAGTATCGCGGAACGTATCAAAACAACATCCTGGTAATGCAGTTTTATTACTCGCGCGTACGTCTCGCGCGTTCAGTCTTTTTGTACTCGCAGACTTCCCTCGCGATTTTTTTTTCTTCCTATTTTTTTTCTCAACCTTACTTAGATTTTCTTTTTTAACGTTCGTCCTTCTCTTTTGTTCATGTTCTCGCAGCTGACGGTGTCGGGAGCGGTGTCGTCGGCGGGGTAGGCGGCGGCGTAGGCGACGACGAGAAGGAGCACGAACGAGCCACACCGGAACTCGACAGGGGTGGCAACGGCGGCGGCGTCGGCGGCGGCAGTGGCACATTGCCGCGCGGGGGTGCCGGTTACCACCACCGACAATATCCGCCGGACCTGCTGGCCTTCTCCGGCGGCCGCGGCGCATCGCCAACAAGCCAGGCGTCAACAGCGCCTGACAGCACGCGTCTGCCTAGTCAGCAAATGACACCGGCGGCGGCGGCGACAACGGCTGCGACGGCCTCATCATACGGCTCGCCGCCGTCAGGCCAGTACCATCCGGCCGCCTTCAAGACGCTGCCACACAGCCGCAGCGCGACACCATATAGTCTCGGACCATCATCGTCATCGTCACCGTTAGCGCCGGTATTACCTCGTCACGGTTATGTAACGATTCCGCGACGACCGCGAGCGCCTAGCTGGAGCAGTGCTCCCCCGACATCGCCCACCGACGCTCTCGAGCCTGTGTACGACAATCTGGGGCTACGCACTACGGCAGATGGTAGCTCGATGTTGTCGCTGAATAAGAGTCCGGAACCAGCCTCGTCTATGAGGGGTCGACCGCTTCCGGGCACGCCGGGAGGTTCGCACTATGGATCGATCCAACGTAGCACCCCAAATATCTTGACGAGTAATCCATTGGACAGAGTGGCGCCGGAAGGTGCAGCTGAATGGCCGCTCAAATTGACGGACGAGAGCATGGACGGCGGTCATCTGTTACTCACGCAGCAGCAACAGCAGCAACAGGCAGCCGCCAGCAACACTCTCAGTAGAAAGGTACCGCCGAGACCGCCGCCAAAACCCAAGAAGAAATCCGCCAATGGACCAACGTTGTATGAGGATGAGGGTGAGGATGGCACGGAAGTATGATATCATGGGCATCGTCCGCGATGAGAGCGACTGGTCGTAGTACGCCATGATGGGGCGTGCGTGACCACACTTACAATAAACCGGTAGTGCCTTTCAAGACGCGTGTCTCGCACGTGCGAGACTTCCACTCCATTCAACGTTCAACGAGTTGCAGTCTGGAAAATGAACAAAACGAGGAGACTCTTCTGGGAGATTTTAGGATGGACACGGGTGGTTCGCCGAAATCGCTGACGATAACGTTTTAGAGGAGGACACGCCGATCGGACATTCGTGTCACCTATATTCCCCTTCCTCAACTTTCCTTTCCTGTAAGTTATCTTGTAAGTTATTTATTGAACATTATGGAGCACCTGGAGTATCCGAAATCAGCAAATCGTGATCTACATGAATTATTTATCGAAACGATCCGATCGTTCAATGGATCCTTTCTTGTCCCTCATCTTCTCCTATGTATCTTTTTCTCTTTTTTTCCTCCCTTTTTTTAATCAGGTTCCTTTAGCGTTTTATTTGATGCTCGTCACGCGCCGTGAGGTGATAACGTGATAATGTGAATAAGGTTGCGGACATTGCTACCGGTATTAGTTGATAAGGCGAAACCTATTCGCGTTTTGTGTGAAATTTACGTGAGCACGAAGCAACTGGAAGTGCTAAACGCGAGTCATTCCGCGAAGAGCGATACCAGTGAATTTGTCTTCTATTCGTATTATCCCGCAGTGGGAAATCGCGAGCGTAATGGCGCGATTCGTGTGTATAGACGGAAGTGTTAAGGTTCAGGCAAGGCAACGTTTTGCACATGTTACATTTATGCGGTAAACATGATGAGAATTTAATATTGTTAAGAATTTATCTAGTTGTTATACGCCTATCGCGTTTTTCTTTTTTGACATTGAAATTCTGACGCCTGTATCGAATCGTACCAAGACTCGTTGCATTCGCAAGCAACACGAACTCTCGTGCTAAACTTACGTCGAAAATGGCGTAATGATCTGTGTCCCTTCTCCTTCAGTAAATGCATCGTTAGATCGTGTTCGTACCCGTAAGGGTAACCCGTATTCTCTCAGCGATGTTTGCATCTTAAATCATCGATAAATGTATCATTGCAATGATTGTAGCGGCAAATTGACTATCAGTATCTCGCAAATATCGTTGATCAGTCCCTTATAGCACGAGGGTAGCATGTACCTCTTTCCCTGAGATAAAAACGTGAAAAGTGTAAATTTTTCATTAAAATGGAGAAATTTTTCATTTTTCACGTTTCTGTTCTACGGAAAAAGTTACATGATCGTTACTCAGAACATTCCAGCAACATTGCAGCAATATTGCTAGAATTCTCTGTGCTATATGGAATACGGAATGCCCTACTTATGTAACGGTGCCACTTTGTATTACGTTAAATGGATAATAATCTATTACAGCGACTATAAATCTATATTAGATGTAAGTGCTGCGATGACACTCGACGCGTATTCGAAGTTGTAAGAACAGATTGCAACGTACGATAAAATGGTGTACAGTATAAATATGTGACGATTATTTTTACCGATGTTAATTACACGAATATTGTGACCTTTGAAATGCGTGTAATTCATTATCAGAATGACCGAGTGGTCAAAATAACAGCGTATTTTGTAAACGAGACTAATTTGATGTCACTGCCCGATTGGTCTCCACA